TCATCAATTTCGTTTTTTTCACAAAGCTAGACAAAAATAAGGTAGACAGGGTGAATATATTACAATATAATTAAGCCTCATGCTTCGGTTTTCATTTTGCTTAAATTTTTGGAGAGTGAAAAAAAGGGGGGGGGGGTCTTTAGCGTACAGTGATGTCTCGTAAATGAGGACCCCATTAATAGATATACCCGCTATTTATACCACAATTCCGGGAACGATCTGGGCGGAGTTTCCGGAATAAGAAGGAACCTCGATGACAGTTGAGTAGGTGCTCAGGGTGAGCACAAGCTAAAACTTTAGATAAACATTTACTGCCGTGAAGCTGGGGCTTTACCTCTCAAGGACAGTTCCCTTTCGGGAATTTTCACTCGTCTCTGATTATGATAAAACTGGATGTGAAAAAATTCCCCCTTTATATCGGTGTATCAGGAAAAATAAACATAAATTTATCGAGCTCAATAGTTTTTATAGAAGCCTAATCAAACCCGTATTTTGAAACTAATTCTTGTTGTTTTTGTGGGTTTTTTTTTAGCGAAAGGAAATGTTTGCAAACACGAAAATGCTCTTTCTTATGAACATAGTGTATCTAGGGTCACTCCTCAGGATTTGATAATCGAGCGCAGTGACAAGTTTAGTACGTTGTCTAAAGAAGGCCATACTTGGAATGCTATTAGCCTATATTAAAACCTTGTTTAGAACCGTGACGATGTCTCTTGTACAACGAAGGCGAAAGTACGCAAACATGTTTTTTATGAGAGGTTCTTTTGCCGACCACGCTTTGCTAAATATTTTTTAAATATTTTAACCACATGCATATACCGGAAAAAATTATTTAAAAAAGAAGCAGCGGGCATCAACAATCTCCGCAATTGTAGTCTACTAGGTGCGAAAGTCGGAAACGTCATTTGATTTCTAAAATTTAGACAAACTAATTGCAAAATATTCCCTAGAAGTTAGACGTACATCTACAAAACTTATGTCTAAACCAAAAACAAATTTTTGTCACAGCACTTTACTTTAATTAACAGCTGCATAGCTCTATACTAAGTCGTATTTGGAATCACGTCTTTAGGATTAGGAATTATATATAGTTCGATATTCTTTTAAGCCAACCTAGATTGATTCAAGCATCTACCGTCATTGACGCATTATTGTCTACATTTTCTTCCACCAGATTGTTTTGGTACCTAATTGTTCGTGACTTAAACTTTTAATAAAATGGAACGTTTTAGTGTTCTAAGTTTGGCTGACCATGTGCCGTGACCTACTCTTATTTTTACAAAAAAAAAACATTTTGTAGACTCGATGCTTATCAAAACAAGACTAAAATATGTTTAAACAATATACATATATATTTTGTTTTTGAGGAAAAAAGAAGTACACTCTCAATACGAAGCGGTTTCCGCGAATAGACGCTTTCCTGAATTCGCTCCAATCTGGTGACTCAAGTGGCAATTTAGATTTAACCGTACTAATGGCGGCAATGAACCTCTAGTTTGCAGTATTGTATCGGCCACCGTCACTTTTGAAAATGAAAGGCGGACGAGAATGTGTGCTTAACTCTAAGTTATTTCACAATCTCTTCCTGTGTCGATGGCGGAAAATATGCAACCAGTAAGAACGAAGCGCCAACCCACATAGACGCCTTGTTAAAGTTCTGTGCATCAAGGGACTTTGAAACTGATTGTGTGCTATTACTAGATTGTCTGGACCCGAGGTAGAACATACTGCTTAAGCAGCTCTTGCATCCAGTTCCTGCTTCGCATCGTGCTAACGAACCATCGGCTTAGGAGCATCTTTTCCTTCTTCCTTTATCAGTAAGCAGAAGGCCGCCAATAGTATGGCATATATGCCATTTTTCGGATGATGGTAGTGATCAAATTGACCCGACTGAATTTCAGAAAGAGTCTATTGCGCCAAGTTGGCATTTCGGGCACCTCTCCCGAAATTCTGTCAGCACCAAGGGTCTAGAAATATTTACTCACAAACTACGTATTAGGAGGATTAACTCATAATATTTCTCATTATGCATCGACGATATTTCCAGAGCAACATTGCAAACGCGGCACATTCCACTAGGATACATACATTTTTTTCTCCGGCTCCGGAAATAGTAGAACTTTCAAACTTTTCCAGCGTGTTGTTCTCTGTCTTGCTAAGATCGGCGCTAAATACTGTTGTCCTGGGTAGCGGAACAAATGTATAAAAATGCTGAAATGGGCACAATTTATTAATTAGGAGTTATTTTGAAACTCATTTAATAAAAGCCACTATCGATTTTTTTAAACCTCCCACATTTAGGGGGACACCACCTGAAAATTGCAATTTTTGAAAAAAATACTATATTTCCTATTTTTCTGTATTCTGGTTCCACAACCAATAGTGTACCTCCTGCAAATTTTATTGCAATATCGGATGTATTTAAAGAGAAAAAAAGCATTTTTAGTAAGCCGACGATGCAGTCATATAGTTTTTAACTGTGAAACTTCGGTTTCCTCTTTTTAAACTGCTGTAGCTTTGCACCGGTATGCCCGAGAATGATGCTTATACTCTTGTTGGGAAGACCATTTCTTCGCCGTTTCAGTACATTACATACCTTCGTTGGAGGGTAAACTCTATTCCGGCAAGAACACCATAGATGTTCAGCTTTCAAGGAGACGAGGCTCTGCACATGGCCAGTAATCAAAAAGCCCGCCCTGATTCAACACAAATCTGACTAAAACCAGCATTCGTTTATTGAAAGTCATGTGGGTTTGTCTGCTTTGTATTTCGATGATGCTTGACCCGTCTATTCTTGCTGATGTTGGTTCGTGTATGCAAGCATATCGATTCCCGCAATCGTGTCACAACCAGTGTCCACATGCTGCCAATAAAATGACACTCGAAGAAAGCGTAATAAGCTCGGACTCACTCAGCAAAGCCATTCAGGAGATTTAGTATAAGCAGAAGGCACCAACTACACTGTTGGTGCCTTTTAGTTGCCAGCACCACCAGTAAAATCACGTGTAGTATTGTGGAAACTTGAAACAGGTTTTTCTCAGTTTCACGTTCTTGCAGCAACTTTCGTTTCAAGAAATATATTATTTCAATGAATCGCTTAATATATTCTTTGTTGTGGATGCTTCTGAACTGAAATTTAATAAGAAATGGAGCCCTATATATTTTTTATTTATATAAAGTTCTTATAGCCAAAAAGTAGAGATTTGATGAGGAGAAAGTGTGCCATTATGTGGAATGATACTCATGTTGAGATTTTGCACAAAAAAAACGGGATGTTAAGGTAAAAAAGAAATAGCCGCACCCGCCATATGTTCTAGTTAAGGCTGAAAATTAGAAACGATCAATATTCTGCAGCGATTTTATATGACAGATTTCCTTGCCAAGTGAGGGAACTTACATCAATAGCTGCGTACCTCGCCCTGTAGCTTATAAAAACTTTCCTGATGTGATGAAATGTCATAGAGTGCATTTAAGCAACAAGATGACTAGACCCTCCAAATTTCATCAATAACTAGCGACTGCTGTAAAAGTTGAGACTTGACGGTGGTGTCACCCCTTAGGATGATATCGCAGCTCCCAAGCCCTGCGCGATTCCAATGGCAAATGTTTGGTAATTTTTCTCAGCAACCACCCAACAAATTGAATTGGCAATGGCTTTATTAGAAGAATAATCATAAACTGAGTAATATTACGGCGCTACATTTCCCGATCTAAACTTTTAAATGTTTTTACGGGAACTTAAAACTGCTTGACAAAGCCCCAGTTTTCGTTCCGTTCTTCGTGAACATTTAGAAAGAAAGCAGGGCCGAAATATAAATTCAGCGCCACTGTATTGAAGACCAAACCTTTTTGAATATATCTCTAAAATATTTTTTTTACAGAGATTCTCCATGTGATAAATTTTAATCAAGTTTGCGGCCCATCAAAATGTCAGAAATTCAGCTGTTAATCCGTTTGGAATTGGGGACCGATTCCAGGAAAATCCAGGAAAAACCACTGTTCTGAAGGAAATCCAGTTCATAGGCGCTGACAATAGACTTAAAAGAGTGCCGGCAATTAGTCAAAGAGGGGCGCGAAGCGGCTGATCAGAAAGCCAAAGAGGAGCGCGAGGCGGAAGAGAAGAAGCTCGAAGTGGCTGAGCAGTTTGAGATGGAACGCTTGGAACTGGAAATTAGACTTCTCGAGGAGGATCAGGCAGTGACAGGCGCCTCGAATCCCGACGAAGTGAAGGTTTTAAAAATTAAAGACCTAACGCAGCCCATCAAGGTGGTTAAGGATGTTTGTCTTTTTCTGGTAAACTTTCAAAGGATGTGCAACAGTATGGGGCGGTCACGTAACACCTGGCCTCATCTCTTGCTCACGTCGTTGCCTTGTAAAGCGGCCCAGGTTGTCACCACGCTTAGCCCGGAGAAGGCTGCAGACTATGACGCAGTCAAGCTCGGCCTTCAGAAAAAGTACCGCTTATCGACGGAGGCTTTCCGGATACGTTTGCACGGTACCAGAAAGAGAAGCCCAAGAGTCGCATCTTGAGTTCCCTTACAATCTTAGGTCGAACTTGGTGGAATGGCTTGAAAGTGTGAAGATCTACGGTAACCGCGACGGCGTTGCCGTGTGCTCCGGCCTCGAACAACCATACAAGGGCATGCTGGAGGCAACATGATACTGTGTTTAGGATAAAAATCCTGACACGACACAGAAGGCAGCCGAGCTGGTCGAAGAGTTTGTGGCATGGCGAAGTAGTCAGAAAGACGACACACCAAAACGGATATTTCCAGGAACACGCGGCAATTACCGCGGAAGATTTTATAAGCTACACTCCGAGGAATACAAAAGGTAGCCAAGGACTCCGTGAATGGCGCTCATATATCGAAGTCCGCGAGGCGCGGAGAGGCAGGAGAGGAGAACCGTCGCACGAAAAAACAAGGTCAAGCAGAAGAAAAAAAAGAACAATTTGAGGCGAGAAAGCCGATGCCTTGTTTCTGCTGCCAGACGTGGGTCACATGGCGGCTGGTTGCCGAAAGCCTCGGGTGGTATTTTCGTACGTTAGTATAGATGACGAGAACGACCTACTGCTCGAGCCTTATCTCCGGGGCCTCTTTGTGAACGGCGAGTCCTGCAAGGTGCTCAGGGAGTGCGCCGCTACGCTGGCCGTCGTGCACCCATCGCTCGTGCAAGCGGACCACTACACTGGTGAGTCCGCGCGGATACCGCAGGTGGCTAAACAGCAGAGCCTCTGTCTGCCAGTGGCCGGGGTGACGATTCAATGTCGGTTCGGCACACGGGAGACAGAGGCTGTGGTTTCAGCTCACCTACCACCCCACTATCCGTACCTCTTTTCTGTCAAGTTGGACCAAAAACTCCTTAAAATGGGAAAATGTTTGACCGACGGGATAGTGATGGCTCTAACTGGGTCGAAGACGCGGGAGCTTCCTACCCACCCTAGATACAATGAGCAAGCCACCATTTCACGGGAATCGGAAATTTAGCTGGAAACCTCCGAGAACGTGCTGGCGACCGAGGACGCTGGGCAAGCAATTGAGACGCGGTCCAACTCCTACAACGAAGGTAGAACCCTGCAAGCGCAGATGAGTTCTCAAATTGTGACGTTTGGAGGTGACTGAGGGGCGCGTTGTTCGTGGAAACACATCTAGGTTGCAGAGTCTACTAAAAGTAGGGACAACGGGTTTGCAATCAGAACAGAAAAGCGACCCCAGCCTCAAGAGACTTTCCACACTGAGGGAGAAGGAGTAGACTGGAAAAACATTACGTTTCACGAGAAAGAAGGTCTCCTTCATGGGAAATACGAGGACAGGCGAGGAAGGGTTTATGATCAACTCGTGGTGGCTTACAAGTACCGCTCCAAACTCCTGCATGTGGCACATGAAAGCCCTTGTTCAGGGCATGTTGGTACAAAGAAAACCAAAGAACGTTTACTTCAAGAGTATTATTGGCCAGGGTGTTTCTGATATGTTAAGAACCACCTGAAATCAGCTGGTGCCAGGTCATCGGGAAGTGAAAGGTCCTCTAAAACCGCTCCCGTTGACCTCTGAGCCTTTCAAGTTCCTGGTACTGGACGCGGTACGGTCCTTGCCCGTCACTTAGTCACGGTACAAGTACCTCTTCACAATGATTTGTACTGCCACGAAGTTTCAAAGGGCTGTGACCCTGAAAACTTACCCAATACCGAAGATTCATGAGCGTATCGCAACAGTGATCAGTGCCAAATTTATCTCCACACTTGATTTGGTTCGGGGATATTTGCAGGTGCCCCTTAGAGAGCATACCAGTCGGTTCTCCGTTTTTGTTTCTCCGTTTGGCACCTTCTAACCCCTGATGCTGAGTTTCGGATTAAAAAAATGCTCCCTTTTGTTCCTTCAGTTTGATGAATCGGGTGCTGCGTGGACTTGGCGATTTCTTCTTACCATATTTAGATGACATCTCTATTTTTTTCCTACCGCTGGGAAGGTCACTTTCATCACCTGCGGGCAGTGCTGACACGACTCTGGGAGGCAGGTCTGACAGTAAAGGCGGAGAGCTGCCAGTTGGGTAGAGCTGAGGTCACGTATCTGGGCCATTTTGTAGGAGGAAGGTCTCGTCGGCCGTCCGAAATTAAGATTGAAGCCGTAGAAAACTATCCGTGGCCTAAACCTAAAACCGATATCAGAGCATTTCTCGGGCTTACCGGGTACTAAAAGCGATACATCCGGGATTACTCAAAATTGGCCAGCCCGCTCACTGACGCGCTTTGAAAGGCGCAGCCAACGCTCGTCGTCTGTGACGAACCAAAACAAACAGCGTTTCAGACACTGAAAACAAAACTTTCTAGACAGCCCCTTTTCATGGCTTTTGATTATGCCCGACCGTCTGTCGTTTAATGTGATGCTAGCGACCGAGGACTGAGACTTGTGTTATGTCAGAAGGATAATGAGGGCATTGAGCACCCTGTTTTGTCCGCAAGCCGAAGCTCAGTGTTCGAGAACAGGCGTTCAGTGCGAGCGAGAAAGAATGCGCATGTTTCTTCTGGGCGGCTCAGAAGCTTTCGTGCTACCCTCTCGGGGAACAAATTCACCTTTGAAACGGACCACTGCCCTCTGACGTGGTTGCGTAGTATGTCTCCGAAAAACGAACGCCTCTTGCGCTAGAGCATTGCCCTGCAAGATTTTAATTTTTATGTTATATACAAAAAGGGCAGGAGTAATGGCAACGCCGACAGCCTGAGTATTGCCTTAACATGAGGCCTGGTGTTCGTCAGGAAATGACATAAGTTTGTTTAGGCAACTTCAAACTGTGTGCATTTACTCAAGTAGGCTTATAGTACTTTGTGGCAAGAAGCAAATATATTCAGAGGTTGTACTGCTTAGCTTGTCCTAATTTCGGAAAGTTCAGTTCAAGCTGTCTTGGGATTCATGTTGAGTGTGACATTCTACTTAGGGGTAAGATTTTAAATAGAGCGGAAGTTTTGAGTCTCATTGATCTTACTTCATGAGCTGGCGTTCCCTTGAGTTGGCTTGGGTGCTTGCCTGCCTTCTGCGGTTGCTGGTGTTGCGGGGGTCATTCCAATCGCTGCTGAACTCGTCCTGGTAACAAAGTGGGTTATACATGACCGGCAGCAAGACACGTCGTTCCTTCGGGCGATTCGGAGGATGTTCACCTTTGGAACGATTTCCACGGTGGCGACGGGCGTCGGCGGCCTCGGTTCGTCATCTTATGTTTCGCTCACGGGTGGTGCTCGTCACCTCATTCTTCTCCGCCGGAATAACGTGGCTTCAAGGTGTCGAACCGGCTGAATGTCTGCCCTTTATGGAACCCAAGGGAGACATCCATTGAAGGTCAACCCAGTGGGCCTCGAACACCAGCATTATGCCAGGATCTCGTCCGGCCTGCCACAAGAGACCTGGAAGGACGACACCTTCGAAGAGACTGGTACGTTAACGCATGACGCCATCGAGTAACACGATTTCTTCGGTGCGGTTTGCGTGGACGTGTGACGTAACCTGAAGAGAGGGTCCTGTCGAGAAGGCGTAGGTGACGAAACAGATGCACTGCCGCGATTGCTTGCCACCGACTACATAGCAACCGAAATACTTTAAAAGGAGCGAGCTCACCCAACTCACCTTACCCACCTAGATAGATCAAGATATAGCTTCTGCTAGATGCTGTATAGCCATAGCTCATTGCTCTCCTGACATGTAAATAAAGGAGAGTTGTAATTATCGTGATCGTCGCCTGCTGTAACTTCTGCCTGGAGCTCCACCTGGATATGGACCCCTGCCGAGCCTGGTCCATCCTTGGGACCCACGTCGGCCGCGACAACACCAATAGGAATGAAGAAGCAAAAGTCAACAGCTCTACGGGATGGGAACAACTAACAAAGTAATTGACACATCTTTTTTTCCTATGAAGAGATTGCCTCAAGGTTGAGTTCTATGAAGAGCAACGAAGTGACCTCGTCATTGCTCGCGACGACCACAAAGAGCCCCCAAATTGTGTCAGGACCCAACAGCACCAGAAATCATAAGTTAATACAAGAAATAAAAATAGGGAAAAAATGTTTCTAATATTTATATAACAAAAGGATGCCATTTCCGAAAACGAAACTCGTAGGTGAGCCTCCACCGCCTTCATCAAGAGGCCGGTGAGCTATTCTCCACGTCGGTTGGTTTTGCAGTGAGATTTCCTCGTATTAGCCTCTTTCGATATTCATGGCTTTGGCATGGACCTGCACCTTTATTTTATGTCAAAACCGCAAAAAGATCGCACGTGCCTGAAAGACGATGCCGGTTTTCATTCATCATATTTTCACAAAGTGAGTCATCTTAGGTTCTGCTGCCCACTAGAAGGTCAACCGCACCTGGGACGGGACATTTCATTGAACGCCGTTTCATTTAATGCGTCCTAGGTTTCTCCCAACGAAATTTAAAAATTTACGCTTTCTTTGAAATTACTGAATCTTGCAAACTATGGACTTATTTCTCATTGTCCTTGCGTACGAGAGACGCTTAGATGGCACGATGGAGGACACGCCAGGAGTGTTACCAAAGCGGATGGATTCGGGGTTCCACCGGCTCGCCCCTCTACCAGCCTCGATTTTTTTTTTTTTTTTTGGGGGGGACGGGGGGGGGGGGGGGGGGGGTCTAGCAACTCATTTTTCGTTTTTGGTATGATTTTTTTTTTTTGTTTCAAAAATTAGATATTTACAATTCCCTGTTACGACGAATCAGAGCGCAGCTCTTGAGGAGGAAGAGGGGAGGGTTCCTAGGAAGAGGCATACGTTCGTCGCGACCTTCACGAATGACCGTGACGTCACGTGTGACGTTGTTATTGGAAGTCCCATAATGCAACACGTGGGTAACAAGTGATACCCGTGCGTTGCATCATGGGATGTTTCTCATAATGCAACGCGCGTGACCTTTGTGACGTCACTTGTGACCCTCTTGACGTCACGTGGGACGTTTCCCATATAGCACCGCGTGACCACGGCGACGGCGACGCCAACGGTGACGTCGCTCAAGCCGGAAACAGGCGCCTGAGAGCCGCGCTTTAAAATAACGGCCAATTGCTGCAATTGGACGTTTCGGTTCGGGGCGACCACTTTTTCGATGAAACGGGGTTTGCTGAAATGTCCTAAAACCCTACGCGTCTCCCTTTTTTATTTACTTTGAGCTTATTTTCTCAATATGCGGAGGGCAAGTTCGTCTGCTTCTTGCGCAGGGGGTAGCGGTGACGTCAGAACGCCGAGCCCTGATTGGCTGATCGCGACCCCCTATCTGAGCGTCGTCTGCTCGCAACGTCGTCTGCGTCTCTCTTACCTTTCCTGCGACTTTCGGGAGCGCAGAGGCCAGATTCACGAAACGATCTTACGCCAAAAATGTGCGTAAGACAAAACTTAAGAACAAATTCGTATTCACGAAACGAAATTTTCGTAAGTCTTGCGCAGGTTACGACGAAGTCCTACGACAGCTCCGAAGCATGGCCGACAGCGTCGCGGTCGCGACGACCAACGGACGTTCATTTTTCTACGTGCGCTTTTCACGCGTCCCGACTTCAAGCAGCAAGAAAAAAGTAAAAAAAGTACTTGAAACAGACCACGACGAACAAGAACGCTGGATCCACAAACACCCGGGAAAAGCTCCGACGGCCCCGATTCCACCGAGAACGACCAAGCGAGCTCGGCAGATAGGCCTAGCAGG